GTAAATTCGCAGTGGGTCGACATACTTTCCTGCTATAAATATTGCGTGAGCCAAGGGGAAATTTCTCAGTAAATGAACATCTCTCCTCCTCAGCTACTTTAAAGCTGTTCCTTCTCTTTTCTCTGCTAGAAGAAAAAAATGGTAATGGGGAGATCTAATAACGTCATCAACGTCTGTGATTACAGTGGTACAGAGCTTCTACCGCCAAACGATGAGTCGGCGGCGACGTCTTGGCGTCTAGACACGCACAAGTTTCGCCTTCCCGAACAGAAAATCTCCGATGGCTGTGAAAACCCCGGTACTGGCTTCTTTCGCCTTCTTTTCACTCCAAGTACGTTTCTTTACACACCACGACCACGCGTTTTCTTTCCTATTTCTGTTATTTCTCCTCTTTTTTATTGTTATTTCTATTTCTTGTCCTGGAAAGAGCTTTCTTGATATCCAAACAAAAAGTTAGGCTCTTTTTTTGTTTTTTTTTATGAACCATCGATATTCGGAAGTTCATTAAGTTATTAATTAATTCGAATTCGAGTCAACTAATACTTAATAACGGTAAAACTCTCTCTCGTGAATTTTAACGGAACTATATTCTCAGACTTGAAACCAAGACTTAATTAAACTAAAAGAATCCCGTCCTAACTCATCATCCACCCGCTCATGGGTTATATCTCTCTTTCTTCCTTATGAATGTTAATTTTTTTAATATATTATGTATGTTAATTATTAAATTGTTATAAAAAAAACCTAATAAATTATATTAAGAAATAAATAAGTTTTTATTTTCGCAGTCTACACTGTACAATAATATTTGTACGTAGCTTTATGCGGCCCACTGTATTTGATAATGCTGAACTGAGTGAAGACATATGTGTTAGAGGAAAATCCGGATAATTAATTAATTATTATTCTTTTTAAACTTTTTTGAAAATAGGATTATGGAGAATTTGGAAAACGTGAGTGCTAAGATATGCTTGGAAAACTGTTTGGTGGTTGGAGTTAAAAAATAATATTCAGTGTAAATTGCAGGAACATTAATGCAGAAGACTTGACTGTAAGTCTTAAGAACAATAACCCAGAATCTTATTGCCATAACTCTGCTTTACCTTGGCTTAAGATAATGTTTTTATTTAATAACAAAATTTGGAATGTAATTTATATACTATATTAAATTTTTATATGAAATTAATGTTCTAAAAGTCAAAAAGTCAAAAAGTCAACTAAGATAACTGAAGGTGAATGGAGGTTGTATATTGTTTGTAATCCATCAGCAAGTTCCATCTACTATACTACAAACTTATGAAAGAGTGAATTGTTAGTCACATGTAAAGCTTGGCAATCTGTTTAATAGTTTGCAGCTCTGTCAAAATCCAATTCAGTTATTTTTATGTTTATCTTAGACGTTAGTCTGGCATTACATCATTGATATTTGTATAACTCCCAGCGAAGATCTCTCTTTTATTGATATTATTTTGTCACCTGCTAGATGCATCTCTATCTCCTTATAAGATATGCATTTTTTTTCTCATTGTGCAAGATATGTTCATATTCAGTAAGCTGGGACATTACTATTCAGTTATGGACCTTGTCTAGTAAAAAGGCCTCTAGTTCATTTTGATTTCATTGTTTCATTTGATTTTTTGTCTTTTCTTGATTCAGGGAAACAACACAAGGTTTCAGAATACTACAAAAACCAAGAAAGGCTTCTTGAAGGGTTCAATGAAATGGAGACAGTGACTGAAACGGGTTCTTTTCCTGGAAATATGTCTGAGGTTGTTTGTCTGTCCTTATTGTTTTTTAATCCTTTTTGTTTTACCTTTATTAAATATGAGAATGAGAATGGAATCTTCAAGTATGTGGAAGCAGATCAATTTGCTTATCTATCTTTCCTTTCAACTAAGATTTGATGCTTTTATTTGTTTTCATCCCCAACATCTCAGAATTAACTAATTGATTCCAAAAATTATATTCAATCTCAATTCTTGTAGATGCACTGTTCTCGTTGTATGAGAGCAATTGTTTATATATGTTCATCTCATTCCCTTCGGGATTCTTCATGCAAGAATGTTGTTCTCCTACACATGACATCTTGTCTAGGGAAAAATGAAATTTAATCTAAAAGTACTTTTCGTTTCTCTTAGGATGAGATGAAGAAGCTTGCAAGGAGTGAGAAATTTGCTATTCAAGCATCAAACATAGCTAATGTTGTGCTCTTTGCGGCAAAGATCTATGCTTCCGTTGAGAGTAAATCAATGGCAGTTATTGCTTCAACCCTGGATTCACTCTTGGATCTACTGTCAGGATTTATTTTGTGGTTCACTGCACGTACCATGAAGAAACCGAATCATTATCGCTATCCAATTGGGAAGAATCGCATGCAACCAGTGGTAAGTTATTTGCTGCTTTAACATCATACTCACATCCTTAGTGTACATTCCTCTCTCTGTTTCTTATTTTGTTGCCTTTGTAAGGTCTTTGAGATGTCAGTTTGTAACAATATAGAATCTCCAAGTTACCGACAATCTCCGTTTATATTGCTGCTTTTTGAATCATGTTCATCAGCACTTTATAGATAGAATGAATCGTGATCCTTAAGTAACAATACAAGTCCATTGAGATGTGCTTCGAAGGAGATCTTGGACTGGTCATAAATTGACCTTCTAGGTAAAAAAAGAAATGCTGGTCATTAATTAAGAACCCAGGTTTGGCTGAACAACTATTATATCTCTTTCTCCAACCCCCTGAAAGGAATCACTTGCCTTTAGATAGGTGAGATGTGACCAATCAGTGGCCTTTTGTATGTTGGTCAACTATGATTTAGAAGTGAACTGGTTTGAATGTTAAGACGGGGGCTTATCAAATCAACAACTGAACCAGGCCAACGTATTAATGATATTCGGCCCCAAAGTGTTGACTACATATGTCATCAGACAGAGCTTCATAGGACCATCTTTACTTTATCAAAAATCACCGTTTTGTATTAAAAGAAAATTGATTCTCAATTTACTGTAAAAATGTACCCTTTATTTACTTTTTACATCAAAACTTGAGTATGTGCTACTCTAACCAAGCTTGAAAATGCAGGGTATCATTGTTTTTGCATCTGTGATGGCAACTCTTGGATTACAAATCATTATTGAGTCCTTAAGGCAATTCTTTACAAAGGTTTGCTGCCTTGATCTTCCTCATTCCAAAATATCAAGTCATGGGACACGGTGAAGTATTTGTAACTTATTTATTGGCAGAAGCCTGTTTGTCTTTCAATCCGTACCATTGACTATTGTCTTAT